TCACATCCTGAACATATAATTTATAAACCTTCAGTCCTTCCAACTACCTTCATATTTGACTCTGGTTGTTTAAAGCAGAGACAATTCCCCAAGATGGACAATGTTCCTCAAGAATTCGAGTTTAAAACTTGTAGTTTAGACCAGTGTTTCCTATGGCCCCCTGCCTGTATGCTCTGGATATAGTGTCAGGATCGCTACCCTGCTTGAAGGTTCCCCCCTGCCCCGTTCTCACCTATTTTAAAGCCACAGCCAGTTTGCTTCTTCACTTTTGTCAAGCTTCCCTGTCCCATCCCCATACCCATCCCCAGGGCATGATGCCGACACAATTATGTCTCACCACATGTTCAGGGTGAGCAGGGTGTGCAGGGTTATTTATTTACAACCTCTCACTATTCACATGTGGACCTCTAAAGAGCTTCCACTGTTGCATCTTCTCTGATTAATTACCCTTACAAAGCCTGTAACTTTAGCAGGACAGCCATGTTTTGGGAGGTTTGCAGCTGGGCCTCATTTCTTCAATTTTCAGATGGTGGGTTAAACTGTGCCCTGTGAGATGTTAAGAGGTTTTAAAAGCTTTGACTGTATTAAACTTCTTCTTTGACCCAGATCAAACACATACAGTGTAGATTCACTCTAAAATAGTTGACCTCTGAGATATACGAGTTAAATCAGATTTTAATTGCATAGTTTCATATAACAGGGGAGTTTTAATAGATGCCCCACTTTGGTTTTTCTACGTAAACAGGAAATTTTTCTTTGCACTTGTAATTTTGGTATAAATTCCACATAAATACAAAATAAAACTGGTTGTGGCTTGACGAAAGCAAACAAATGAGGAGTATGAATAGCTTTGAGAGGCAAATTTGTTTTTTAAATATGTTTATTAAATGCTGAAAATGTTTTATCTAAATATTTTTAGAAAGATTCATGTGATAGGAGATACTTCATGTATTCTACCTTCAGTACCATGATAAATGTTTTCCCCATCCATTTCCACCATGTGACAGTAAATAATAATCCATATCAAGATAAAAGATAAAATGTGTGTTTATAAATACAGTAATGGCTTTTCACACACCAGATGATCCATTATAGGACCATGCTTGCTCACAGGCCACCTAAAGTCTGTCAGGTTGTGTGGAAGTTTTTAGAGGACTCAAATGCAGAGATAGAAGCTGAGGTGGTTTCTTGTAGATCTGATTTTAAAAAAAACGTAAAAATACAAAATCCAAAGACCAGAAATGATTGACAAGGAAAACTGAAGAACCAAAAAAGCAGGAGATTTGAGGGATGAATAAACCAAAAGACTGACGAGGATCCAGCAAAGAGTAACTGAACAGGAGGTGTATATATGGGAGACAGGAACAATGGGAGGACTAAGCAGCTGATAGGGAGCAGGTGTAGACAGAAGGAGCTAAGGGGACAATAGGGCAACAGAGAATAACTTAAAAAATCAAATCCTGCTTAAATGTAACTCAAAAATGGAAAAAAAAAATAATCATCAAGAAAACACAGAATATCATAAATCAAAGTGTAACTGAGAACTTAAAAAGAAACTTAAACAGAAGTCCAAACTACAAACAACCTGTTTAACAATCTCATTCTCGTCAAACAGAACAAGAGGAAGCAGAGCCCTCTGGGAAAGGTAAGCCTGCTCTGACTGGACAGCTCAAAAACCAGATCCCATCATTTTCAATCAGTTCTGCTTGAATTAAAGCGAATACTCCCAACTGCAGGATAAATCACCAGCATATAAAAAAGGCTTTAAAAGACATTACAAAAATACCACAAATAATACCTAGAAAATTACTTGTAAGTTTAAATGATTTCAAAACCTTTCATGTTTGAATTCCCAACAGCCAGAGTTCACAAGACCCCAGAAAACAAAATATTATTTATATATTTTGTGCATTCTCATCCACTCACTTGGTGAGGTACACCTGTTCAATACGTTTTTAACACCCGTAGCAAATCACAAGGCAGTAACTCTCTGGATTTAGGCGTCTAGACTGGTGAGGAACACAAGCTTCTTGGACTGAGCATCGTAACAGGATAGACGGGATTGAAAGGACTTTGAATATGTCATGGTCGTTGGCGTCAGACGGGCTGGTCTGAGGATTTCTGAAGCTGCTCATCTACTGAGATTTTCACACAGTCATCTCCAGGGTTTACAGGCAATGGTCTCAGTCATGGGTTTTCTTATTGAGGTCAGAAAAGAACAGACAGACTGGTTCAAAATGACAGGGAGACAGCAGCAGCAACAACAGTTAATTGTTTTTTAAGATTGTTTTTTTAACCTTGAAGCAGACAGGCTACATTACAACCAAACACCAAACCATGTTTCCATTCCTGCCAGCTAGGAGCAGGAAGCCAAGGCTTCAGGTCAAATAAGCTTCCCAAAATTGGACAATAGATTGGGAAAATATGATATCTGGTCTATGGAGGCTTGATTTCAGCTCTTATATTCAGATTTTGGTGGGTTACAATTAGCTAAAAAAAAAGATTGTGGATACGTATTGATTTTCAGCGCTTATTCCTGTTTCTCTCTAAGAGAAAGCTGTGGGCTCAGCTATTACTGTATCTAACTGTATGTGCTTTCTTTCATTCCTTTAACATACAAATGGGCTCAGAGCTCATCTGCTCAACTCTCTTTTCCAAACAGAGCCAGCTGAGGAGCTAGCTTACTATTACATTTTCTAACATAGAAATGGTTTATAGATCAGTACTTCTCTGTTTGTTTTATATGTCTGCTTCTCTCTCCTTGAATCCCCAGGCGGCCTCGGCAGATGGCTCCATGTAAGATCGGTGTGAGAGATTGCTGAAGAATAAACGAGTCGATGCAATCAGCTGGTTTTCCTTAGAAAAATTTTAATCAATCTGACTGTGTGATGTGATTGCATTATTTATGTAAAGTTCCTTGAGATGACGTGTTGTGAAATGGAGCTATAAACATATATATAAAAAACAAAGCATGGATTCAATACTCCTTTTCACTGAATATGTCTCAAGCCTTTTCCTTTTATTAACTGTACAGTAGCTTTGTTTGTTTGCCTTTTTGTTTAACAGCTTAACTCTCAAATTGCATTCTCTCATATTATTTAGTCTTATAGTTGTATGTCTTCTCTGTCCTTGTCGCACCAGCTCTAAGGCATTTCTCATCTCATCTTGTATCAACAGGTCCGGCTGCTAGCCCAATCTGAGCCTCTTATTGCCAGCCGAGTATTCTTTAGACTCTATATTCTGTGTATTGCTGCTGACCATGTTCATCCCTTCATGACCTCCACATTACCATCAGACCCAATTTTGGCAAAGAGCTCAAGCCAACTCAGACTGGTTTATTGAACATTACAAAAGCAGATCTAAACGTGATAGAGCCTTTTAGGATGTTGTTAAACAGGAATTGGCATGATATATATGCAGCTGACAAATCTGTAGCAATCACATGATGCTACCATCAAAGCAACACCACTAAAGACTGTTTCTAATACCTAATTAGATCTAAGCAATAAGTTATAGAGCTATTCTAAAGAAAATACTGGGTCCAACACAGCAATGGTAAGTGTCCACTAAGAGTACAGTCATCTTCACACGAATGTATGCAAAAAGTCAGAGTTTATAACACATCATCTGCTTTAAGATCGATCAATTTAACTGATATACAATATTTAACCACTACTTTCTAAGACTTTAAGTCATTTACACTAAATTGAAGTTATAAAATTGTAAAAATGCATGCAGTAACAATTTTTGCTGATGGAAAATAGCGTACATTACGTGTTCCAGTAGCAGTTTTCAGTGCATCCAAGATTCGACAAAGGCATTATTCCAGCACCTAATATCTCTTTTTTAAAGAGACTTCACAACTTATTTCTGTTTTACGGACATTCACAAAGAAGGGATGGATCCAAACTAATACAAACAAAAGGTCTGCAAAGATAATAATTATGAGTGCTGACATGAGTTGTACAGGGGAAGGAAAAGGGCAGCCAAGATCTGTGCAGACACACATTCTGGACACAAAGTCTGTACTTTTACTGTCAAGTTATCGCTGCAGAGCCCTGTTTCAACATACAAGCCATCCCACTGACAGTTTTCCTCCCTCAGGCTGTCAATCTGATAACAGAGTACTCAGAGCAACACCATGTTTATTTGCACCTATATATCCATGTGTTCCTCTTCTGTGTAATCATGCATATATATTATATACATTTCCCTCAGAATGTCTTCAGTCAGAGCAAAGTTGAACCCACGGCCAATTTGCACTAACTGGTTCTGATTGACACCAGCACATTCAGTGTAACAGTAAGGTTTTTCTGACTCCTCACAATGACAGATTTTAGTAAAAATGGCAAATAATTTCAATCTGAAAAAAAGAGTAAAAAAAATAGGATAGGAACAAGACTATGTTCACAATGCAGCTTTTATTGCTCAATTGTGATTCTTTTCTGAAATCTGTTTTGCGTGGTCATTCACATTTCCAAATATATGGGACTTGTAGGTGATCTCCTGTTTTAAATGCATTAGTGTCCTGTATGCGCAGAAGAGGATGTGATGATGTCACAGGTAGAAAGAGCTCTCTGTGTTTGGGAAACCTGGATGGTTAAACTGGAGAACATCTTTTCTTTTCCAACTGGAGAAAGCACATTAACAACACAATCTTTTTAAGATGGAAAAGAAAGAGCCAGGATTATGTTCATTGCGCATAATAGTGATGTTTGTCGAATATTAATGATGTAAAGGTTGGATGAATGTGACCTGGCCCTACACAGGTTGAACTTGAAAAGATCAAGGTCTGTGTTGGTCAGACTGTCATAAAAATATCAGGTTGCATATGGACAAAATAAATCTAATTTGAGTCACTTCAGGCAGCCAGATGAACGTAGCGCAAGATTTAGAGCTCATCTAACATCAGTTTGTCCCTTGAGTTAGGCGGTGCGCCATGAAATTAAAAGCAGCAAACCAATAGCATTAAGACAAGGATCATACTCATGTTTCACTGCAGTAAACCATTTATTCAAGTATTTCCAACTAAGAAAGTATTTACAGTACATTATGTTCACTAGTGCAGGTCTGAGCTCTAAACTCTAAGACAGACTCAGACAGAACAAAGTATATGCATTAGAAACTTCAAAAATCTTCTTTTATTGCTACCCTTTATTCTTCCGTCCGTCTCCGACAGATCTAACCAACATGTAGAGAGAACTGTACAGCTCAACACACACAGTACTGTTTCACACAAGGCAGAAACAATTACAGCCATTTCACATCATTGAAGTTTCTCCCTGTAAAAAAAGAAGAAAACAAAACTCACAGGGGAAACAAAACAGACACTTCTCCAAGATGGTGTTCATGCCAGATCATTGTTGTACAATAAACAATTTCCATGACTACTTCTGCAAAGTCAAAGTAAAGACAACAGAGGATCGGAGCGTGCTTCGGTGGCGCAATGGTTAGCACAAACTATTGAAGGCCTTAGTCCTCCATGTGGCCGGCCCGCTTTTGAATCCGACCTGTGGTGCTTTGCCACATGTCTCTCCCCCTCTCTCATACCCCATTTCCTGTCAGCCAACTGTCCAAACAACGAGCCACTAGTGCCGTTAAAAAAAGGGAATGATGCTCTCTGTAATCACAGTTCAAATGCTGCATTTTAACAAAAGGTGAGCCGAGTATTCCACGTTTTTCCAAGCCGTCATTTTTCCAGTCTTCACCATGATCCTGTCTGACTGGAACAAGAGGTGTTGAGAAGGTCAAAGCTGAGAAACTCTTTACCCCTCACAGAGGATGATGGGGAAATCCACATGAATGCAGGGGTGATCGAGCTTCACCACTCCCTGAAAATGAAATCATTTCCCAATGAACAAATGGATCAGTTCTAGATCAACGGTACCGTATGTCCCCACTCACCTGTGGAATCAAATTCTTCTGGATCCTTTTCAACTTGGACCTTTTTCTGCCATTTTTCGTAACCACCGTCTCCTCATAGAATTCATGGGCTAGATCACCGTCCTCATCATAGTACAAGGAGCTGCCAAACATTAAGATTAAGTATTGAATCATAATGTAAGTAAGGAGGCATTCTAGTAGCCCAAAGTCTTTTATCAAATTTTAAATTATTACTCCTGACTGCTTTTGATCTGCTCCATTATCCCCCTAATAGTAAAAATGATTATTTTTGGCGTCATCAAATAAGTATCATCACCGCTCCCCTCCTTAGCAGGTTGAAATATGAAGACTGGTTAGTATAATGAGCTGCCTGCTGTTCATGGTTCAAAGACTGATCAGGTGTTTTTGACATTTAGAAAAGTAGAAACTCAAGATTAACATGAAAAAAACACCTGGAGAACATCCAACCTGACATGGAAAAATTAGGTAAGAATTGCACTGCTTGGGTCCTTCTGCGGCGCTCAAAAACAACTTAATATAAATATCACAGACTGTTCCAAACTCAGCTTTCCAATTCCATTATTGTTTTACATCTATTTGAAAATATAACATGCTGGCATGTATTTTAGATTTAGGCGAAATATTTCTGCAGCTGGCAGGCTTGGAAAATGGAGAACAGAATAATGAAAAACCAGAGAAGAGAAGAAAGGTAGGACACATACAAGAGAAGGAAGGAAGGAAGGAAGGAAGGAAGGAAGGAAGGAAGGAAGGAAGGAAGGAAGGAAGGAAGGAAGGAAGGAAGGAAGATACTATGATACTATGACTAAAATTGTGATAATGTGACAATGTAATATATCTAATATGCAAAAATAATTTCACATGAATTGATTAAAACATGCCACCCAGAAGACAATAATCAAAAATAGTTCATTAATAATATAAACATTTCTGTACCTCCTCCTGGTAAAAACAAACGGCGTTGCATTTTTGGAACCTTTCAGGCGGGCCACAGACTGTTCGTTTCCATCGGCCCCTGAGTCCCCTCCGCTGCCTGAGAAAGGCCAGGCACCTTTGACTTTGGATCCGCTTCCTCCCATCCTCAGAGATAAGACATTATTTATCTGCAGCTGAAGCTTCCGCCCCTCTCGGTAGCCAGACGCTCTCAGTTTCTCAGCAAGGCCAGGAGCTAGAAAGTTGGAAAAGAGACAAAGAAAAAGACTGTTTCTAATCAGGCATTGGCTGCCTGGTTAGTGTCAGGTACCAGCTGTTTGCTTAGTGACTGCTGACAACCAACCAGATAAAACTCCCAACCAGATTCCTGCTTACACTTTTTCTCATGGTGTTGGCCTAAGGTCATTGTTGCAGCAAGGTTACAAAGTGCTTCTCACTAGGAGATCGCAGCTCAATTAATGGCACTTACTGCCTGTTTTAGAAGCCATTTCTCCATTTTTGTATAACAGCAAGCTGACGTAAAGTGAGAGATTTCTTGGTTGTGTAGTAGTGATACTCTCACTGACAATTTCTCAATTCAAAATCATACTTTTGATTACCTTTTTAGGCTGCAACTAATGATTACTTTGAAAATCTATTAATTTGTTGATTAATCGATTAAGGATCAGATAACCAAAGGTTCCTTAAAATACATTTTTTACAAATTAAACCAGGTGAAACTAAACACTTTTTTACTTGAGGGGTTCTGGATAGAGTATATTGACAGACAAAAAAGATTTTTTTTTTTATCTTAAATGCTATATATTGACATATATTTTTACAATTTTGTATATTTACTGCTCTAAGTGGGTTGCTCTGTCAGCTAAAGGCATGTTTTACAGTCTCTACACTCCATTTAATGATTAATCGATTACTAAATTAGTTGATGATTATTTCAATAATTGATTAATCACAATTAATCTGATTGTTTCAGCCCTTTTTTACAAGTTTTATACATTTTCAAACTTCCAGTTATGTCAAGAGAATTTTGCCTCAAAAGAAATACATATTCCTGCAAACAAACTTGTTCAGCTTCATCTAACAAGTTCTAAGTCTGAAGTAAGATCCATCTGTGGGACAAAGTGTTGAGAAACCCGTCCAGTTATTTCCCTAATCTTTCAAGCCAAAGCTAACCAGAGCAGCCCCCAATCATGTGCTTACATGTATGTACAGAAATAAACCAAATTGTTGGTACCCATCCTTAAGTTAAATAAATGGTCACATAAATAATTTGAATCTGAAAATATAACAATAGTTATTCAATGGAAATTAACATGTTAATTATATATACAAATGTAAAGGAGCTACGCAGCTCCTCGTGCGTGGAATTTTTTTTACAAAGAAACTGAAATGCTTTTAAGTTGAAAGTGAAAGAATTTGAAGCAGCCTCAATGATCTGAAATTGTTTTACTTGATGTTTTTTATGTACCTGTCATTTAATTTATTGTATCTCTGTTTCTTATGTTACTTTGCTGCCTCTTGGCCATGACTCCGTTGAAAAATAGGCAATGGGATTTTTTTTTTCTTGGTTAAATTAGGTTAAAAAAAAAAATGATAGAATTACTGTCCTAAATTGTTATTCTAATATTTTTTCATGTTTAGCACTTGTAAATCTCTGCTTATTCACAAAGAACAGCATATGTTTAGAGGTTTTATGTAATTTTCAGTTTTATTTTCTTTGCCCATACCTTTCTATGATTGGACTTTATAGTTATGCTAGCTTCACCGACAGCTAACATTGTCGGCCACATACAATGACAACCTTAGCCACTTAATTCACAAAGCTAGATAGCTCAAGAAATGTACTAATGAACACATATTTTATTCGGGTTAATGTTCAGCATCTGTAATTTACAATAAAATCCGCTTCAGTAGCAGTGAACCCACAGTCTGGATTGTTAGCTTTAGCTACTGACGCATATTAGCTTCGACGGCTAAAAAAGCGTCGTTATAAACGGAGCAGCTTAACCTTTGATACGAAATTCCTCACTTCTCATGCACCCAAATACAGCTTGAAATATCTCACCTCATAATGTGTCGTTAAGTCGACAAATGGAGTCATAACTGCCAGCTGTATAGCCAGTAGCAGTAAGATAGAGTGAAGCGATCAGCTGATCTCAGACCAGCTGACGTCACACCGAGCTTCACCTATCAGGTGGATCAGTTCAGTTTTCTATAGTGCCAATTCACAACAATTCATCCAGATCATACAGTCAAATTGGTCCAAAGTTTTCTAAGGAAAACCAGTTGATTTCATCGACTCAGATGCAATCCCTCACACTAAGCATGCTTGTTGTGACAGTGGAGAGGAAAAACTCGCTTTTAACAGGAAGAAACCTCCAGCAGAACCAGGCTCCGTGTGAGCGGCCATCTGCCGAGGCCGACTGGGGTTCCTCTCACTTTCAGGCATTTTATTTATCCAATATTTCAAATTGGCACAAACTGTAAAGTGGTAATTAAAATTTACCTAAACATGTTTTTTTTTCTCCTTTCAGCACCTAATAGAAAATGTTATTGATACCGTAATTTTCTTAACACTAATTTTCTAACACTATAAAAAGCAGAGTGACGTTTTTCCTCACAGAACCAACCGCACGAATATACAGATCCAAACTGGCTCGTCATCAATTTACAGTTGTTAAGGTAATTAATGTAAAGATAAAATTGTTTTATGATATTTATGGTTTTACAGTAAATCATTAAATCACTAAAAGGCAAACCTTTCTATGCTTAGAAGGTTAAACCATTTTCCAACCAAGTACCAGATCATCCATGCTGAAATCAATAAGACGAAAAAAAGCCTATTAATTTTACCGCCATATTTCATAATGGCAGAGCATAGATTATATTTGATCTTGTGATTTCAAGTGAAATAAAAAAGTAATCTCTATAGCTTTTAGAAACTTTGTAATGCCCCCATTTTAACTGAGAATGCATGCATACTTGTGAAAAAAATAAATAAAAATTCACCATCTTTAAGTCATATCTGAAAACAAAAACCATTGCTGCTTAGGTTTTTATGTATATATCTTTTAATAAAATGCTGTGTACATCTGCCAAACATTCTGCTACATTTGAAACTGTGCATAGACTGAAGGAAACGTGAACAGCGGACAAACATTTTGGCAATTAGCAGAACAAATATATCATGGATATGAAAGACGTGACAGTTCAAAAAACAAGTAAAGCAACAGTCATTCGCAGATCCACTCATCTAGAGTGACTTGTAGCACAGCTCTGACATTCATGATAACATACAAATGTCCATACGCCAGTCATACTCAAAGTGATCCCTAAGTAAAGAGTTGCACCCATCAGGGGTGTAGAGTGGACATGGCAGCACTTTGGACTCGGGTGCGGTGAAAATTCAAATACCTTTCAGCTATTAAGAAGTAAAATTGAATAATTAATGTTTACATATGTTGAGAAAATCTAAAATTTTTAGGACATCTGAAATGACAAAAATATATATATATATATTTTATTGAATAATTAATGTTTACATATGTTGAGAAAATCTAAAATTTTTAGGACATCTGAAATGACAAAAATATATATATATATATTTTAACCCTTCTCGCCAATTAGGTTGAAGAGTAATAGCTGAGGTACAGAATAATCAGATGGCACCCATTTGGTGTAAACATTACAACCACTGTCCTATCTGCCAGTCTTCCATCCACTTAACTCATTCTCTCAGGCACATCAGACTCTCCAGGTGTAAGGCACTTCTCAACTCTCGCATCATTTCACACGTACATACGCGCTAGCTCTTTCTCTCCCAGTTTGCGCCCTATCTCACTCTCTCGTTCATCCAAGAGGTGTTGTTTTTTTCTGTTTCTTTCTCCAGAGTCTTTGCATGCAGCAGTGACTGGTCGCAACCAGCCAGGAGCAGCACAGCAAACTCCGAGCACAGAGTTGTTTCAGCCTGGGGTTGAGCCGGACAAAGCCTCCAGCATCTTGGTGCGAGCCAAAGTATATCTTTTCACAATCTGCTTGACGTGTTCCTCTTCTTCACGCTGAAGGATGAGCAGGAAGTTCTTCAGCTCAGGCATGGAGAAAGCGTGCCACTGCAAAAGGGAAAAACAGATCAATGACTAAGATTCATTCAAATCAGGGAATGGAAGTTTTGCTTTAGCGTTGATACAGGTTTCTGATGTACTGTAGAGCCTTCACTTACATTAACTTCACCAGTTTCATTTTCTTTGAGAACAAAACTGAGGACCTTCTCATTGGGCCCCGCATTCAGACGTAAACGGAGCGGCCGTTCGCCATCAGAGAGCTTACGAAGATAAACTGGGGAAGCAGAGAGGAGAATTATTTTTTTTTCTTCGGGAACAAAATGGGATCCAAGATCAGATTTCCATTTTTATATGAAGAAGCAGTACCTTGGTCATGGCGCTCGCTGCGCTCAAACAGTGCAAATTTGCCGGGATTGTCCACCACTGTGAACTTCTTCAACAAAGCCTCAATGACCTCACGAGCAGACGTACGGGAGCTTATGTGCAAATGCTTGGAGGCATCCTTTGGCAGGTAGAAGGAGGTGCGGCGCTTCACTCCGCTGGCTCGCCTCCCTCCAGCATCAGGACCTCCTTTCTTTGGTGCTGGAACTGACACAGGCCGTGCTAGCTTGAATTGTACCTTCACAAAACCAGTGTAGGACCCATCCTTGTTCTGTTCAAGAAATATAGCGTGTTATACCAACAGCAAAAAAAATAGTGCTTCTCTCCTAAAATGAATGGATTAAGTTAAATTAAGTACCCACCATGTTCATGAACAGATTGCTATTGATCTGGGAGTTGTATTCCTTCACTTTCTGCAGAATTTCAGCAGTAGTCCATTCTGGTTTCCCATGTTCGACTTGTTCGTCCTGAAAGGAGCAATGCAGTTACATTAATGAAGCACCAGGTGGCAGCGTTTCTCTCTAATGCACCGATTTTAGTGCATAATATATAACTAAGAAGAAATTAAAGCAAACGTTTTTTTCTCCATTTGACCTTTTCTAACCATTTTTAAAAATCATTTTACTAAAACTCTAAAAGAAATATCAAAAGTAAAGACAAAAATATTAATTTAGTTTTTTTTTTAATCATAAGGAATTGGGTATATAAAACATTATTCTACTGCCGTTGTTCCTTGGGTGTATATCTATAAGAATGTTTTATTGGTCTTATTTATATTATGTTGTATTTGAAGTTGCTGATACATGTTAGCATAAACAAATGTCATAATAGAAAAATGAAAAGAATGAAAAATTATACAATGAATGCAATAGAAGGATATAGGAAAACAAGTCTTTTTTAATTGCATAAAATGTTTAAAAGATTAATGCTAATGTTTCTGGACATAAGATATTAAATCTGTCGCGCCGAGGTTTTTGACAACAAGTTAATGAGATGTAACTATCTTAATATGTTATGATTGTTTTCCCCACAGACTGGTTGCATCAGACCCAACTTCCTGACAACACAGCTAAGGCAAACATGATGATGTCAGCTCTGACCAGTGCTGCTCTGCTCCTCTGTTCTCTCACTGTAGGGCTAAAGGGAGGAGCAAGGGAAGTAGGCAGGGAGGATGAGGAAGAAAGGAGGGGGAAATAATTTGCAGCTGTGCAATGACTGCGGCCAACGGCATTGCATTCCTCAGCTTGGTATTCATGTAAAAATAGCCAACCCCCACCCTCCCGAACTTTCAGACTCCCACATGTGAGAGACAAAGCTATCCCTTGTTTCAAAGCCACTTTCTATTAGGTCAGCTGCCTGACAAACCACACACACCTACAGTCATGTTGCAGTCATGCACATTTGGCCTCCAGCAAAGAGATGACCAGTAGCCTAGTTTGGCCTTAACTGGCAGCAGATTCCCTCCATTTGTATCATACCGGATTTATCAAGTATTAGTAAAACCTTAGACTTAAGAGATAAAAACAAAACCAATTTAATTAGAGATCCACTAAATATATTCTTTCCTAACAGTAATTATTTTTGTTTCGATTACTGAAATCCTCTGATTTTGTGCAGAATAATTTTTACCAAAAATTATTATTTTAGGCCAACGTAGTGTTTCATTTCAATTTTTCTCTGCACTACCCACTAACAAAGTTTGAATGGCCTGAGTCTATTTTTGCAGGACTTTACTGTAACTTGTGTGTGAAAAAGTGACCAATACGATATGCATGCATGAATCTGCAAGCTAGACGGAACTCTCGTGTCCCGTCTATGTGGTCTCAAACCCTCTTTAAGCTTACCACCGCCACCTAAAGCACGGGAGTGAGAAATTTAGTTTCTAGTTCTTGTTAAATGCAGTGTGACCAAATTTCAGTGCCTCTGCAATTAGAAAGTTTCTTTTAGTAAAATTGCAGGTATATTGCAAAAGTAATTAACTACCAGACACTATTCTGAAAGTTCTTTTTAATGGTAAACTAAAATGAAATGTGCTGCAAAAAAACCTACAAGATATTAAATCAGCACAGCGAATATTAAAAAAACCTACGCATACTGTCAATCTTTTTCTTCTTCTTTTAAATCCTTTATACGCATAAAAATTGTGGTATTACTGCTTCAATTAATTGGGAGAATTGGTAAATTCTGATCTGTGGTGGATTAATTTGTGCATCACCTTTCACTTTAAAATAAGATTCAAATTTCAAATTATAATCTTTGTTTGTTGAAGAATTAGCAGAAATCTGTAGCTCATAGATCAATGGTCCCAATCCTTAGATGGAGCGTAATGGATTCAGAATTAGAATGTTGCTTTTAATTATTCAATAAATCAATGAATCGGTGGGAACCAATATTTTTGCTGCATAGAAGATTTAGAATACATAAAATTGTGCCTCCACATGCCCCCATAAGGTGTGTCACACAAACAGAACCTGGTTTAGCCAACATCATAAAAATGGCTTCTGCAAAACTTGATGGTGCAGTATGTGTACTGTAAACTAGATCTGCTTCTCACTAAAAACAAATCAGACACCTCTATGCAGGTGTGTGACTAAAAGACAGATAATGATCAAAACCAAGTGATTCCATGAGTCACTTTGAATTGTGAAATTTGTCAAAAACCAGAGAGGAGAGCCAGTAATGAATGGTGGGTGTTGTGCTGGAAACATGAGAAGCAAATGTGCGTCATACGAGCAGAACATCTGGGGGGGATTTCAACAAGACTTAATCTACTGGCCTCCAAGTGTAATAACGAAAAAGAAAGAAAAACTTCAGTAAGACTTCATTGAATGCTGGGTAGGTTAAAAAAAAAGAGAAGCCAAAACGAAGTTTTGGGTGCAGTTTCCAGATAATAGAGGAAGCAGAACTCCACCCAGAACAGGAAACTTGTTTGGCAATAATCACGCCTGCTTTAGTTCCCTGGAGCAACACCTGTTTTTTATTTTTAAGGTAGAGGGAACAGGTTGCCGTTATTTACCCTGTCAACAAAATGTTTAATTGCGAATTTGTCTCATTCTTAGCAGAAAACTGTAATAACGCGAGAGTTCACCACCCAACCCTGAGCTCACTTCCCCTTTTCAAAAACACTTTTAATGCGTCTAATAAAAAGTGCCGTATTGTTTCCGCAACTAATTGTCTTTCCAACTCACCTTCTTAACCTTGTCCGCATCAGTAGCGGTGGGTTTTTTAGTTTTGGGGAAGAAGGATGTCCGGGCGGTGAAATATTGCTCGAACTCAGAGTCGCAGTCCTCCTCGCTGCAGTAGCCGCTGCTGGTGGAGCTGCCCCAGCTCATCTCGAATGACGGAGTCTTATCGGAGCTGTTTGCCATACTTCTTACCGCTTCGAGTCTAAAGTTATTATTAAAACTAAACTTTATACGAACTTCTATGTCACTTCTGAATGAGAGCGAATCTGACTTAGCAACACAAAATTAGCTGAAGAAAGGCGCCTCGGCTAAATGACGGTATCTAAACTAGCTCTGTCCCTATGAATGCTCAGAAACAAACCGCGCAGTCTCACCCAGCTTTTCCACTCCCTCTTCCTCTCTGAACTACCGGCCACGTTTCCAGTGTGTGTAAAACAGGATGTATGGAGCTCTGGGCTCCGCCTGCCGCGCTTCCTCCCCCCCACCGAAGAGGTCCCTCCCTGACCGTTGGTTTCTGGTTCAGAAATACACAAACCACCAGAGAGGCTCGCGATTGGACGGCAACACCAAACCGGAAATACCCCTCATCCATAATCTGATGAAACTAAATTTACTTATTTTGTATAATTGTTTTGATATGCCTTGTGATACTTTGATTCTTCAATAAAAAAAATCTGATGAAACAAATTTGGTATCATCTCTGTAAATCAGAATATAATATAAAACAAACCTACTTCAAGTAATTTATAACATAAAGCAAGAGGCTGAATATTTTACAGATTCATTCAATATTTTACATTATTCCTTTCAAGTTTACATAAGGCTAAATAAATCTGTTTTAACAGAAATGTGATGTTCTTCACCATCAATGGGAGTATGCTATAGAACAGGGGTCGTTAACGTTTTCCAGGCCAAGGATCCCCAAAATGAGAGATGGAGCAAGGACCCCCTAATTGTGTTATATCAAACTGGTCCTTTAGTCACTCCATTACATACAGAGTAATGTAAGGGAAGTAATTTCTCCCTGGGATTATTAAAGTATTTCTGATTCTGATTCCTGGTTGATGGAACAGGTGTTTTGAATGAAACGGTGCCCAGCTTGAGAGAGCTCCTGTGTGTCGCTGAATGTGTGTATTGACGACTGAAAGACATCTTCAGCTTCCATTTATCTGTTGAATTCATGTTAATGTATATTTAAACACATTTCAGTTAGTGGAAAAAAATTGCAGAGGGGAATATAAAAAAAAAAAGTCTAATCAACCAAAACTTTTGCGACCCCCATGCTGTACCTCCTTGGACCCCCTAGGGATCATGGACCCCCTGTTGAAGACCTATGCTATAGAAGATAATAAGCAACAACCTTCATTCCGACTGTCCGTTTAAAGATTGATGTTCATCTAATTACGTTTTGGGGTCAGTTTTAGTGGAAGGAAGAAAAACAAGCTGTAAAACTGCCTACAAGCAAAAGTGGACTGAAACTCCAAGGGGACTGAAGAGAAAACCAATTAAATTGTTTAAGGGGAATCACTGAGCATGGACTGAACAGAGCTTTCATAATCAGATTATATAGTAGACGATTCCAAGACATGAGCTAAAACTGTCATGTTTCTTGTGTTATTAGCTACTTTGGAACTGGATACGGTCAAAGCATCTTGACAAGGCTTTCCTCTGCTACTAATTTTAATTTTCCAGCATGACTTGTCACTTGCTGATACTGACAATACCTGCTTCATTGACCATTGTTTCAGACTGGAAACTGGAGCGGAAGAACCAGGTTAAAGCAACACCACTTCCTGATGCCCTCAGCAGATGTACAGGCTGCAGATCCACCTCCATGCAATGCTGCATTGATGCAGTCTTTCTTTGAAAAAATAGTTTATATACTGAACAGAATACGGACATACGTTCCAGTAGGTCAATGTTTCTACATTAAATATCCATGTTTTAATGTTCTTATGCAAAACCTGAATTAAACATAATCTAATGAACATTTTAAGGCTTTTCTAACTGTAAACTATTATTAACAGTTTAAATAACCGGCTCTGTATCCTGCCCTTGAAATGAACTCATACATTTTTATTTTTAAATATATCCTATTAGATGCAACAGCACTTTAAGACATTTTCTTATAGACATAATATTTCATTCTAGTAAACAAAAAGTTAATACATAAATATGCCACACTGTGTGTTAAAATAACTGACATTCTTAACTTAATGCTATTAAAATATATAAAAGTTCTTTAAATTAGCGAACCATTTGAAATCTATTCAATTGACTATATTTTTCCTCTACCCCAGATTGATTTGAAACCAAAGCTTTGACATCCCCCCCATGGGGGAGGGGTTTGCTGCAGCCCCATCCTCCTCCTCCTGCTCTCCCTCCCTGCTGAATGTCATGTGATGATGGGAGTTCCCGCTACCACACACAGTTTGATTAGCATGTGAATTGTATAACCCAAATTTAAAAAATGCACACAGCCATTCATTTATACCACACCCGTTATACAATTCAAGCTTTAAAAGAATAAATAAACCATTCTGTTTAAAAAGAAGCAGTGGAGGTCCCACCCACAGCTCTTAAGCTGCATCAAGGAATAGTTAAAACCTGATTTTTTAAAAAGCACTTCTGTCTAATTTGCCAGTTTTAAAGCTACAAATTTAGAGCTTTACAGTAAGGAACTGAGAGGTGTTGTCAAGAAAAGAAATACAACCAAAATGTTTGAACAGGGAAGTCAGAAGAACGGAGTACCTTTTTTAAGTTTCAGATATAAATGCGTAAAAGCTGCATTCCCAGTTCAGGGGGTCAGAGAAACCTCACTAGTCTAGGTTTTAATTTGAACATAAAAATACTTTGAAAGGCAACGCCTGAGCTTCGCTGGTTTGCTGTGTTTGAATACAGTCGACTCAGAAAACATGCCAATTTCTTGCTCCAATGCAAAATCGGTGAAACAGCACACGTGAAAGGTGCTCTTTCATAGTTACTGAAATCAGTTTCAACTGGTATATGACCAATCCAGCCATCACAGGACATCTCTTTACTGTTTATTTTTCCTTTCAATTCCTCATGCCATTGAAGGAGCAATAAGTAATAATGACAGTGGACTCCTCTTGATGCGGAGGAGAGGCGGCTCTGCTCCGAGCCTCTCCCAGATGACTGAGCTCCTCACCCTATCTCCAAGGGAGACTGCAGCCACCCTGTGGAGAAAACTCTTTTCGGCCGCTTGTATCCGGGATCTCATTCTTCCTGACTATAGGTGAGTGAGGACAGTAGACCGACCAGTAAATCAAGAGCTTTGCCTTTTAGCTCAGCTCTCTTTTCACCTCAACAGATCGATGCAGCGTCTGCATTATAGCAGCAGCCGCACCGATCCGTCTATTGGTCACCTGCTTCTTTCTCCTTTTACTCATGAACAGAACCCCAAGATACTTGAACTCCTCCACTTGAAGCAGGAGTTCTCTAAGACAAGCCACCTTTTTCCAGTTGAGAACCATTGCCTTGGACTTGGAGGAGCTGATTCTTATCGCAGCTGCTTCACAAATTGAATCTTACATCGCCCCAGTGCATGCTATAGGTCTTGGCCGGAGGAAGCCAGCACTGCCACATCATCGGCAAAAAGTAGGAACAAAATCCACAGGTTGCCAAACCAGATCTTCAGCCCTTATAGGAGCTGAGCCTAGAAATCCTGTCCATAAAGGTATGAGCAGCACCAGAGACAGAGGGCAGCGGTGCTGGAGTCCATTATGCATCATTTATAGCTAAAACTTCCAAAAAATATAAATTATTTATGTGAAGATGCAGGGTCTTCATTTTTTATTATTAACAAGTCACATGTCAAAAAATTGATCAAAATATGCCATCAGTAATCTGTGATTTGATGATTTTCAAAAAGCCGAAGATAAACAGTTGTTTTGAAAATTAAATCAGCCTAGTGGAATCATAAAAAAAATAAAATTTGTTAGGAAGGTATTTGGTGAGAATAGCCAGGTTTATCAACATGACTTTAAATTTTTATTTCCATAACATTGAGGATAAATTCAATCTTTTTGGCTGGATCCAGATTATTTGATCTGATTCCTGTTTATCTTATCCTTGAACCACAGCAGCTGTATTGTGGCTGCCGGCACGTGAAGATGAGCTTATTGTTCATCTCCTAATGCCTCCATTGGTATGAAATCAAATCCTTGTTTTAAAGCTTGCTTAATTTCTAGTCAAGATTTATTGAATAACCATACAAGTCTTAAAGAAGCCAAACACAATTTTTTCAGTATTCTCTGATTGAGTTGTGTTTAATCCCACCCAGCAGTTCAATCCAGTGGTACGCCAGACGCCTTCCCTGCGAGAGGTAGAGAGGACCGCCTGGTTGGCTGAGAGCGGCCGAGGCGCGCTGGAGCAAAAAAGCTTGAAATTCTTTTAAAAATGAAGTGGAATCACAATAAGCAGAGTAGATATTTAACAAATCTACTTTGATGACTCAAAACATCTTAACAGTTTATTTTGGGTCACAGAAAGCTGATTATTTCAACTTTTATGCTCAATTTTTGTCACCCTCTTTATTGATGTCTGAGCTTGACCCTTTTGACCTGCACTGAATCATGGGAAATGATGGGAAATCACAGAAAATACCCTAGTTGCATCTTTCACATCAGCTAAAAGTTAGTTGGCGTTATAGGATCATCAATGGACAGTAATCGGTATAGAAAAACCTTAAAAGATGCAGCCCCTGAATTGGGACAAAACCCATTTTTGGTCCTCTTCCCTCGCTGGTTTCCATGTTTGCAGGCTGCTTCTCTCTAGCTAACATAAAATAAGAAATGTTGCACTCTGGTTTGGCAACACTTGGCATGCTCATGTGATTAGGTGAATAACAAGTAAGTAAACAGACTACACACAGTTTAGCCAAACGGCAAACCAGTCCGTAAACACTAACCCTAAGTTTGCACGTTCCAGTGGAGTGTCTCCCACCAAAAAGACCTTTTTGAAAAATCGGTTGATAAACTATTTATGAAAAAAAAAATCTATAAGGAGAAATAATGTTATATTTTAACATGACCTTGTTTCTACCATGATGGAATAAAAATTTTAGTTACAGACAAAGAGTTCAGAAACTCTTCCCTCCCCCACCTGTTTCTGAGCACTGCTGCTCTTCAAGCTCAAAGGATGGTTTTGGATTTTCTCTTGTTTTCTCAAATGATCAAAGTCATTCTTGCAGCAGAGAAAATAGCTGCTGGGTTGTCTTTTTTTGTTTGTTTGTTTTTTAATATAAGTACTAATGATTCAAGTTTTACTTTTGAAAATTGTTTTACAACTTATAGTTGTTAACAATGTTATTTAAAAAAAAAAACTGCCATTTTAATCTAAATGAGAGAAAATATGAACAATATTTAACAGATTCCAAAAACAGTTTGCTTGTTTTGCTGTTACTTGTTTTATTTTAAGTTTACATAAGTGGACATCAGCAACAGGATTTCCTGGTATTACAAAATTATTCTTATTACCTGAAGTAAAAGTATTTTTATTGATTTGAAAAACATTGAAGTATGTTTAATATTTTTGATTTAAAGAAATGCTCACGTTATCTATTGTGCAACACCCTTACTGTAGAGGCTAACCTAACTGGTGTTAGAACCGAGCAGAACCAGTATGATTAAATTTATTCCATCTAGGCAGTATTTTTTGCAACTAGCTTTATCATTTTCAACCCTTTGTGTGTATTTGTCCTAAAATCAGAAGTGGAAAAAAAACACAGGTAGTAGAGTAAACACATTGGTGCTTCATTGTTAGAACCAGTAGGATGCAAGGTAATGTGGTTTGATGCACCTTGAATATGAAGTAGAAATAATCTAAAAATGTTATAGATAGCAGGAGTCAGTGTGTACTGGCTGTAAACTCAAATGTAAAATATATATGTTTAAGTGTAAGTATACAGAGGTCATATATTTGTTTTTGTACCATAAGTATAAAGTAGGAAAAATCGCTTTACTTTTACTATTTTTGGATTTTGTGGTTGTATTTGAGAAAGCACCTCTTCCTGTTTTGTTTTTACAACAGAAACAAAAAAAAACTGATACAACAGAATATTAAATGGAAAAAGATGATGTAATAAGGGAAAACACGCTTAGCAATAAAAGAAAAACTAGAAAGTAGTTCAGCAGATTCCCGATAGTCTCTAATCTGAATTTCAAGCAAACGAAGCCTAAGAAAAAAAACAAAAAAACATCACTACTTTATTTCAAATGACCTTGTTCTTCTTCACCATTACCTGCATCTAAACTTTCTGGAAACAGTGTTTCAAATACTCAAGCATTTCCCCACAGGTTTCATTTCAGACCCAGATTTTTGCATAAGGTAACATTTGGAAACCAACTTATCAAACAACTGACTTCTCTTTCTACAGCTGTTGCTGTGTATTGCAAACTAGGTGGAAATGCAGCTTTTAAAAAGAACATGTTGGTCCATTTTCAGTTAAATAAGTTGAATATGATTTTTATTGCTAAAGGTCAGTAAAGGTGCAGTTAACTTGTTTTTTTAGAGAAGTCCTCCTGAAATAGCCATAAATGAGGAGAAAAGGTGCCGCTGAGTTTCTGTTCTGCCTGTGGGCAGAGCTAACTTCCAGTTACAATGCTTCGTAATTCAGTGCAAGACAGCTTACCACATTCGTGTCTGTCTCTATGGTGTGCTCCACAACAGTTGTGAGGTCCGCCGCCGAGCCACGCTCCCAGCTGCAGTCCAGCTGAATCAGGGCACGGCAGCGGTAGTGGCATGTAAACCTGCAGTCTGAACATTCAGAAAGTTACAAAGGTTAGGGCAGATGCAGCTAAAAATATGGAAACATCAAAACAGATAATCGGGTAATTGTTGTTACAGGGTTATCTCAGGACTTTACGATACCAGCAGAACCAGTTTCTGATAAAGGCAGGGAAAACCAAGGAGTAGGGTGGAGGACTTTCACAGGTACAGAATCACCCCACTGACAATGGTGAACAGGGAGGGGACACTGAGTACTTATAAGTACCTGGGTGTTTGCCTAAACAGTAAACTGGACTGGACTTATAACAGTGACGCTGTCTACAAGAAGGGTCAGAGCACACTGCTGAGGAGACTGAGGTCTTTTGGAGTGCAGTTGGCACTCCTGAAGACCTTCTGTGACTCTGTTGTGGCATTAGCCATCGTCTATAGAGCTGTCTGTTGGAGTAGTGGCTTATCTGTAGCTCTGTGGTTGGACTCAGTGCAGGTGGTGGGAAACAAAAGGACTGTAACTAAATTAACATCCATGTTAGATAATGTCACCCACCCCATGCATGAACCTGTTATGGAGAGTTCTTCAGTGGCAGAATGCTTTACGATAAATGCACAAATGAGTGTTATCACAGATCCTTCCTCCCACAAGCTGTAAGACCATATAACCATCACTGCACCAAACAACCTTATAAGGTTTAGAATCAAGATTACATTTACACAGTTCCTTTCTCAGTCACTTTAAATAACATACTGCTGACATTTTGCACATTTTGGCACATCTGTATTGTTTCTGCTATTTCTATACTCAGTTTATTAGTTATCTTTCCTTCTTTTACTGACTACGCTTTATTTATATTTACAGCATCTTCTCTCACTGTACAGCATTTGCACTTCTATTTCACTTCACTGCACTTCTATTTCACTATATATATATAAATAT